TATATCTTTGCAAATACGATATACATTATGCATGTTTATATTGGTTAAGAACAGCCGTTATACAAGGAATTAGGGTCAACTACAAATTCACGGCACTCTACGCCACTTATCTACATTTTGCAAGCATTGAACCTTTCTCCATATGTTTGAGTTGCTCTTTTCATTTGCAGAATTTATTTTAAATTTTCATTCCAACTTTTTATCAATTTCCTGCTTTAAATCGTCTTGCGTTTACTTGATAAGTCTATTCTGTATATAACACATTTCATAAGAACTTTAAATTTCTTATTTATTTTATATTTTATGCTTAAAAGCATTTTTAAAAAAGCACCAGAAGAATTTTCAAAAAATCAAAGGATAGAATGGGTGAAAAACCTATTGAGGATTTTAAGAAAGGTATATCTAGAACTCAAGAATAAGTGGAATTCAAAATCTAATAACATACAGCTGTAAGTATCATAAAAAAACTTTATAGTACAAAGACATGAGTTCACAACTTTTAAATCAAACGAATTAATAAAATCGTTTACGATTAATTTAAGTTATTCTTTTATCTCTCAAACTTCCGAACTCTTGTCTAATTTAAAGAAGAAAAATTTGTTTTAACTCATTTAAACTTATTTAAACTAAGATGATTAGCTCTTAAATAACCAGAGGGTGCTATAGAATCTTTATTATTTCTGTTTTTGGAACCTAAAACCCAAAAATTCAAAATCTGAAAGGTTCAACTTGATTTCCCTTAAGTAATGCCAGTTACCGGCATTTCCAAGTTTACGGATTCTAAGGTTTGGAGGACTGAGGTTAGACTTGAACTGGAGACCCAGCTCCGCTCCAGGTTATATTGTGATATTCCTGGTAGCCATGGGTTACAGTCTTTACTATAGCAAGGGACCATGTCACTAGAGAACTAGATGATTAAAGAATCAGAGAACTAGAGACCAAGAGAACTAGATAACTAGACAACTAGAGAACTAGAGGTACCTTGAGCTGTCTCTAATTGGAACCTTTGAGAGTGTATTTTAGATATTGTATGATATGACGGTAGGGGAAGGGGGGGGGGCGAGAGGAGAAAACATAATAATATTATTCGTCATCGGACTTTCCCGTTCTCTCAAGCCACAACCTTGAGTACTTCTTAACCTCAAGTTCCATCAACACAACCATGTATAAACCATGTATGTATCCTGGGGTTTCCGAACATGTAAAGCGGGAATCTATGAGTCCTGTGAACCACAAGTCTGCAACACGTGTAGTATCCTTGGAGAATTTTGGCATATCCTCGAGATTCTGATTTCATAATATCTTCTGTACTTCCCCGAATAAGTTTTAAAGTTCTACAGTACACTCCATTTCACTCCAGATTACTTCAATCCTTTAAAACCCAGAACACGCCTGTGCCTTCCTGGTCAGTGTGCACTCCAGTACACTCAAGTATACTTCAGTACACTACAGTACACTTTAGTTCATTCCAGTACATTATACTACACTCCAGGACACTCCAGTACACTACAATACACTACAGTACACTCCGGTACACTTCCATACACTCAAGAACACTAGAATACGTTCCAATACACTTCAGGACACTAAAGGGCAGTCCAAGACACTCCTATGCACCACAGTACACTCCAGTACTCTCCAGCACATTCAAGTTTACTCCAGAACACTCCTATACATTTCAGTACAGCACACTCCAGGACGCTCCAGGACACTACTGTACACTCCAGTACACTCCAGTACACTCCAGTACACTCCTATACACCCCCTATACACCCCAGTACAGTACACTCCAGTACACATATGGGAAAACTGCGAAACAATAAATCAGGCCCACTTTAGAACACTCCATTACACTTTAGAATACTCCATTACACTTTAGAATACTCCAGTACACTTTAGAATAAGCCAGTACACTTTTAATACTCCATTACACTTTAGAATACTCCAGTACACTTTATAATACTCCATTACACTTTAGAATACTCCAGTACACTTTAAAATACTCCAGTACACTTTAGAATACTCCATTACACTTTAGAATACTCCAGTAGACTTTAGAATATGCCAGTACACTTTTAATACTCCATTACACTTTAGAATACTCCAGTACACTTTAGAATACTCCATTACACTTTAGAATACTTCAGTGCACTTTAGAATACTCCAGTACACTTTAGAATACTCCAGTACACTTTAGAATACACCAGCACAGTTTAGAATACTCCAGTACACTTTAGAATACTTAAGTACACTTTAGAATTTTCCAGTACACTTTAGAATACTCCAATAGATGTTAGGTATTTTCCCAAAGGATTTTTACCAAGTGGCAACTTCCCAGATGTGCGAGTTCCCAAGCGGCAACTTCCCAAGTCTGTCCTAGCCGCAGAGCTCGGCCCCCCCGCATAATCTAGCCGCGGCGCATGGCCCCATAGCCCATCTTAGCCGCAGCGCTCGGCCCCCATTGCAGCCTGCGGTGCCTTAGAGGGTCTAATCTAACCTTTGGGAAGTTGCCGCTTGAGAAATTGCAGATTTGGGAAGTTCCCACTTGCCTTGGGAAAATGCCTTTGGGAAATTACCTAACTCCCTCCTTTACACTTTGTACACTCTTTATACTAAAAAATCAAGAAAGGCTCCCTCCGTATTTTTTAATTCTTTAAGATTATTTATTTTTGATTTATTGTTTAAACCCATAGATAAATAAATATCTATGTTTAAACCAGAATTAAATTCAAAATAACTGTATTCAGTATACATATAAACAATTTATCAAAAATCAAACAAACACATGTTGTTTTAAAGAAAAGAACTATCAGAAAAGTAACCAAGTTCATATTGTTACTTTATGCCGTCTCAAGAAGAACTTTTTGTTTCAAATCTTGCAGAGTAAACGTTAGAAATATTTAAATTAAAAATGAATTAGACTAAAATATGGTAAAAGGAATTGAGTCTTTGCCACAAATTCAGTTTTTGTAAAATCTATATCTTTGCAACCTTATGATTTAAACCTTTGATATTTCAAACTTATATTATTTGATCAAATAGCATTCATAGTTTGAAAAATTAAAGGTCTACAACGTCGGGTTGCAACGATATTGAAATTAGAAAATCAGAGTTTGTGGCAAAAACTCATATCATTTTACGGATATTTTATTTGTGAGAGAGTGGATGCATTGACCAAACAGGTCCCACACACACAAAATAACTTGATTAGTTAAGCCTTTGACTGAGAAACCAAATGATTTGATTTATGTCTGTTATTCAACTGGTGTGTCAGCGTTAATAGCACTTTTGGTTCATTATTATAAGGTTACGACTTATCAAATATTAATAAAACTCGTTGTAAAATTACAATTTATTACTAAATTAACATGTCATCGTTATACAGAGGCTACAGGACAAATTACATTAATTCTTACATATCACATTAATAGGTAACATGGCAAGCAAGGAGACATAGTTTAGTTTAATCAATATTCAAAACAGAAATTTCCCCGCAAGTTTAACTACAGCTTGATATAGAACAATTTCACAATTTTTGTTTCCTGAATTTACAGTTTTGGTCACTTGCTGAATAAACATATACAATTATCTAATCAAACTTAAACAAACCTGATTTTAAATACATTTTTTAAACCAGAAATGGCAGTTGGGCCATGGACAATTATTCCTTATCAGAAAATGTGAGAATTTTGTTTACGGGTATTCACAGTTTTACTGATCAGTCTCATAGATTTTGGTGGATTAGTTTCGTCAATGGTTTTTAAGATCGGGCTATCTATAAAACAAGTATCAGCGTTCGTTTATTATTTTTAACTTCTTCATTCGTTCATTAACTACTAAGGTCTGATGACTGGTGCAACGGTATTGAAGGTTTAAGGCATAAATACCAAATTAGATGAATAAATCTAAAAACTTAAACCGTTTAATTCTAGCAGTGAATTAGGTTTGAGTTCTAAACTGTTTGCATCTATAGTCGCGTTCACATCTTTTTTGATAATTAAATATTTATCTGAGAAGGAGGAGAGTTTTGGAACAAAAGAGCGAGAATCATCTTTCTTCTTTACTCTATACTCTAGAGGAATTACTTCAGCTTGCCACTCAGCTATTATCGGAATAGGAGCTATAAGCTGGAGTCCCATGAGAAGCATGTTATCTCGAATACTGGCCGCTAGAGCTATCTCTGATGCAACTAACCATGCAAAAGGGAACCAGGGGCCTCCGATTTGATGTCCTACATGAGCTAGCATGTATCCGACTCCACACGAGAGAATATCTCCGACCACATTGATCCTGCTGTCTCCTCTGTAGTTCTCACTTGTCCCAGAGTTTTCTCTGAACAGTGTTATCACCAGGTTTGTATTCTCCAGCATCTCCCAGAGCATAGCACTCATCAAGGAGAATACTAATCCTCCCGCTAAATCTATATGTATCCAGGATGCTAATATATATCCTATAACTCCATGAGTAGCGTGGGTAAAGCTGTATGGATCAAGTAGATTCTGCGAGGTTTGAGTAGAATAATGTTCTTTAACGTAAATTGGCCAAATTCCTCCCTTCTCATGTCCAGGGAGCGGATAGATAGCATTAACTATTCCCATTATAAATACTCCATAGATGAGAGCAATCAGTATTGCGGAGCCAACGGAGATAAGAATACTATTGACTAACATCAACACCTTCTCCTCATCCACCTCCAGACTAGTTCCTTCCACCGACATTGTTTATAAACAAATAAATCCTCTTCCAGGAGATAGAGTAAGGTTCAGGTCAATAGTTTGTGAATCACTGTTTAATTCTTTATGTTTCACCTTGGATAGGTCGGATAGGTGGAGGGAGGTGGGATCAGGACCAATACGCGGTCAACCTTACCTCATGTCCTGTCTAGTCACAGGGAGGGGGGAGGGGGGATACTTATTTATAGATAAATTACACCAGGACGGATAAACACACAAACAAAAGGATTGTATACAGCATATACTTACACGGATACAACACACAAAACTATACAACCTAATAAATGGATTAAACCATCTAATTGCTACTTATTCTGGACGGAAAGTTTGGAATTCAAGAGCTAAACTTTTTTAGTTGAATTAAGTTCCATCCGTTTTAATTCCTTGTAGTTCCAAATAGTGATTGGAAGAGGATGGAAATATCTTATTGGTTGAATTTACAAACATTAAAAAACGGGTTTAATATGCTAGGGATTAAATATTTGGTTTAAATTGTCGATGCACGTCCTCTTTTGTAAAAGAATGTGATAAATATTCCATAATTTATATCTTTTTATATAAAACTCCGGTCCAGATTATAATCTATTCGAGAAGACGAATGGGGGGGGGAGGTTGAGGAATATGATAAAAGGATTAAAAACAACCAAAACAAAAGACTAACGCGTAGAAGGAGTAAATAACATCAGTCAATCTACCTGTTATGAAGAAATTGTGACAGGTTTACGTATATTGGGAGAAAAAATCGAGATAAAGGACAGAGGAGAAGGGAGTATTATTATAGTATTATTAGGAGAAGAGATATGATATCGGAGAAGGCAAGAAGATAAGGAGAAATAAAAAGATAATTTACATAAAAATGGGAAAATATCAAGAGGAGAAATGGGAAAAGGGGGAATACAAGAAAGGAACAATTTAAGATGAAAAACGACGCAAGAAAGTAAAGAACATCTGAGAAAATATGGAGAAGAACCGAAGAAAGAAACTAAGAAAAATTATGAAGGAGGAAAGAATATTGAGAGGATGAAGCAGAATGAAGGAGAGAATATCTGGAGGAGAAGGAGAGAATATCTGGAGGAGAAGGAGAGAATATCTGGAGGAGAAGGAGAGAATATCTGGAGGAGAAGCACCTTAATACTGAAAACAGTGCATAAGGAATGAAAAGGAGAAAAAATGTCTGAAAGGGGAAAGGAACGAATATTTTTTTTTGGGGGGGGGGCAAACTGAGAGGGCAGCCAAGAAAGAAAACATGTAGACGTTAGAAACGGAGAGAGAGATTAATGAAGAAATTTAACATATTTAGATGAAAAACCAAAAAATTAACATAGAAGAAGAGAATGTTGTTGGCATGAGATATGTGAATGAGAAAAGAGAGGAGAAAATTGGAGTACATACGAAAAATCCGGGAAAGGAAAGTAAAAGTGAATAAAAGGAGAAATGGGGAAAGAATGTAAAAGAAAAGAAGGACACGGGATGAAGTAAATTATAGTATAAAATATAAGGAGTCTAGTCAAGGATAGAGTTGAAAGATAAAAATCAAAGTTTTACAAATGTAAGTATTTTCTTTCGTTCAAATAGTTGACAGATAAGAGAAGACGACTAGAGAAGTGTACGGGGCATACTGAGAGCTCTGACCTGGTTCAGGTTCTAAACAGAACTTTCTTCACTCTTCACTCAGCTCAAGCTAACTTCTCACCCACTCAACTGTATATTGAGAGAGGATCCCGAAATACATTACTATAAAAATGTGACCATGAACTGGAATTGAATGTTTTTTATCAAATAGGTAAATACTCGTCAAAAAGAATACGTTATTTTGGTGATCCTTACACTTTAGTTTGCCATAAACGATTCACAAATTTTTTTTTTAATGAATGCAGCTGAAATTCATGTGTCAATTTCTAGAATAATGGTGACTGTATTAAAATTAATGAACTCCTATTATTAGGGAAAGTAAATTCCAAACCATACTCATCACCCAGGCCTGAATTTGATTGTAAGGTTTATACCCAAATAAAACTTTGATGTTTAGATGATCGGAGGAGAGGATGAGTTGTGGTTGTCTCTCCCGGTCTGAATCTGTCCTTATAGTTTCTATATACGGAGTATCTGTATCTGTTGCTCTTCTCTCCGTCCTAGGTTTGCATGGGCATGATTTTGGTCCTGGGTTCTCTCCCTTCAGTACAGAAATTCTTCATCAAGTCTGTCTATCAGTGTATGGGGTAAGTTGCATTAGTTTCCATTCGTGGTTCTTATAAAAATATTATCGCAGAACTTTTCGGGCATACTCTTAAATACTTATAGTTATATAATACCCCCCCCCCCTTCTCTAATTATTGAAAAAGTAATTAATGTTTTCTTCATTTTCATTGCACCCGGAATTTTATATCTGAATTTTTATTATCTATATTTCAGATATGTTTGATGACGAATCTCCTTCTCTTCCTAGGATTAGTTCTCCCCCTCCGACCCCTTCTCATACCCTGGTTAGCCAGCCATTCTCTTCTCTCTCTAGCTCTCAGTTCTGCATCCGTGTACTACCTTGTACTCTATGTACTCACGGACGAGTGCGGAGAGGATTGTCCTATACTGATAGGGCTAGCATGTACTCTCATATCCGCAGTTATTGTACTAGCCTACTGTATATATCTAGTACAAGACTATTTTGATGTACTAAAGTACGTTATTAGAGAAAAGAAGGAAAAATCAAGGAAGGAAGAAAAAGTCTAATGAAAAAGTGAGTTTAGCTTTATAAAATTTCTAAAACGTGACAAAAACGAGAATGCAGTTCTATGGATTAGTTCTATTTATATCAAAAATAATAATATTATTAAAAAAATTTCAAGATTTTCTGAAGATAACACGTTCTTCTGCTTTGATATTTTTTGCAAATCCGTTCTCACCTCACTCTTCTCATTTGTTCTCTACCATGCTTATCACATTTAAACTTTCTGGTTATCAATGTATACATAGTTAACATTTATGAATCCATAGTTTACAGTAATGAATCCTTAGTCTACATTAATGAATTTATAGTCAACTATTGTAATTCCATAGTCTACTATTATAAATCCATAGTCTACATTAATAACTCCATATTATACTATTTTAAATCCATAGTCTACATCAGTGCTTAGAATCTATTTAATTTTGATGCAGATCCGGATCCGAATCCTAGATCCGCACTGGAAAAAATGGATCCGGATCCAAATCCGGCTCCGGATCCAGGTTATTTCTTCAAAATTTACGGAATTTTTTTAACAAAGCAGAATTTTCAAAGATTTTGTCTTATTTTCTTTGCTTATTTTTATGCTAAAACTTGATGGACTATTTAGAAATCAGGAAATTTTTATAATCTCTCTTTTTTTAATAGTTCAGATTTGGGTTTTGAGAGTAAACTTGTTTTGTTGCATTTTTGGTTGATATTTTGCCCCTTGGATCCGGATCCAGGAAGCCAAAATTTTGCGGATCCGGATCCTAAGTACTGGTTACATTTGTGAATCCATAGTCTACATTGATGAATCCATAATCTACTTTTATGTATTCATAGTCTACATTAATGAGTCCATAATGTATTCTTAATCTACATTAATGAATCCTATTCTACATTTATAAATCCATAATTTACATTTATTGAATTTATTGAATCCATAATTTACATTTAATGAATAGCGAGTAGAAGCTAAACCGCGAATACGTAGTTTAACCACTTCTCTGGTGTGTCGGCTCAAGCTAAAGAGACGAGGTTCAACCTGTTCTCTTGTGTGTCAGCTCAAGCTAAAGAGACGAGGTTCAACCACTTCTCTTGTGTGTGGCTCAAGCTAAAGAGACGAGGTTCCACCACTTCTCTTGTGTGTGGCTCAAGCTAAAGAGATGAGCTTCAACCACTTCTCTTGTGAGCGGCTCAAGCTAAAGAGACGAGGTTCAACCACTTTTCTTGTGTGTGGCTCAAACTAAAGAGAAGAGGTTCAACCACTTTTCTTGTGTGTGGCTCAATCTAAAGAGAAGAGGTTCAACCACTTTTCTTGTGTGTGGCTCAAGCTAAAGAGGTTCAACCACTTGTTTTGTGTGTTGCTCTAGCTAAAGAGACGAGGTTCAATCACTTTTCTTTTGTGCGGCGCAAGCTAAAGAGACGAAGTTCAATCACTTTTCTTGTGTGCGGCTCTAGCTAAAGAGACGACGTTCAATCACTTCTCTTGTGTGCGGCTCAAGCTAAAGAGACGAGGTTCCACCACTTCTCTTGTGTGCGGCTCAAACTAAAGAGATGGCCTNTTCCACCACTTCTCTTGTGTGTGGCTCAAGCTAAAGAGCCGTAGTTGCTATTCAGTAGATTTTGTCCTAGAGTAATTAAATATTAAGTTCAAGAGAAAGTCATTAAAAATCCCAAATCTAATTCGTTTCAATCAATAAATCCTCTGGTCTAAGTTCTGTAGTAAACATTAAAGATCCCTTTTAAATCGTTTGAATTCTATAACTTCTTTAAAACCAAACCTTAAAGTCTCTAAACATGATTAATTCAAAATTTGCAAATATGTACATTTAGTATTTTATGTTATATCTGAATCCTAGACTGACGAGTACAAAACTATAGTTTACATAATCAAGAAACAATTTTCTCTGAACTTATTTTCAAACAAAATATGAATCATTCCTTCTTGTAACAGTTTTGGATTATATTATATTCAAACCTAGCAATTATTAAATTCAAGGTTTATGTTTATCCTTGACATTTTCCAATATTTACTGTAAAAACCTGAATTTTCATAATGTACCTTTTTCATTTGATTGTACTAAAGTGTATACTCATTGTACTGTACTGTACCATTGTACTAGACTTGTTATTTCAGTGCCAAACTTTGAAATCTAAAATCTGTGATGATAATAAATATTAATCTCTTTTTTTTTGTTGTTTATTTTTATAAATAATTGGATTAAACAAAATTACATTTAGAAATATCTACATAAAAAATACAATACATGTATATTCTACATTAAGCAACATATATTGCAAGAATGCATGGATACCAATGTAGGATAAGACATTATTAATGAAGATCTAATCTTTTAATACCAGTTATAACAGTTTATATTTTTCCCTCTGCCCTTCTACCGTATTCTTGTGGAAATGTAAAAAAGGACCTGACAACGAAATAAAGTAAAGCAGCCGAACATTTTTAATTTAAGAAAAAGATTAAATAAAGTCTATAACTGTACACTGTAAAACAGATTAAATAAAGTCTATAACTGTACACTGTTAAACAGATTAAATAAAGTCTATAACTGTACACTGTAAAAAAGTTTTGACCATTCTTTATGTATTTAAATCGACGCTTTATTTAACAAGTTTCCGGGAACCTATAAACCTTTATCTGAGTATCAAGGAGTAAGATATCCATGTTATTCTTTTTTAAAAATTGATAATTTTCAATTTCGGTTTCTTTATCAAATTGACTCGTGGATTTATGTAGCAGATACAAGGAAGAAAATTAGCAGAAGATATTTCTTTTCAAGGAATAAAAAACGACAGTATCTTACTCATCGTTTACTCAGATAAAGTTGACAATATCTTTCTCATTGTTTACTCAGATAAAGTTGACAATATCTTACTCATCGTTTACTCAGATAAAGTTTTGAAGTTGTGAATCTTGCATGAAACTCCTTAAAAGGAGGGTCACGTAGAATTGTGTCTACATTCCCTTTAGGGTATAGAAAGAAAAATTGAATTGATTAAAGAATTACAGACAGGATAAGAATGAAATAGATTCTAGTTTCTCCTTGCAATCTCCTTCAGTGTGGAGTTCCACAAGTTCCCTGAATATTCCTCCAGTAGAACCTGACAACTCACCCAGTAACAGATAAATGAAGAGTCGACCAAACCTTCCAGTTCCACTCAGATCCTAAGATTAAGGTTCTATTAGATTTACAGGAAATTATAAGGATTATCTGCAGGGCGTCCCACATCATATTAGACCAATTATAGCTCTTAATTGTGATTTTCGGGACTAATCAGAAAATTGAAAAAGAATAAAATATTTTATACAAATGTATTAGGCTAATAAAAAATTAGTTTGCAGAAAGTTCTAGGTATTTCTAGGGTTTTCTCCGTATTTTGATGATAAAGCTTGGATAATCCAATATAATATGTGACGCTCAGTAGCTAATCCGTTGATAGTTCACAATTGTAGCCTTTAAACATATATCTGAGAAACAAGAATAAACATAACATAGTTTTCTTTCTGAAATTGAACAAATCTAGACCATTTTCTTGCTCTGCTTTGTTGTGGAAATCCATGTGTTTTTTTCAAAGAATAATCTCCAAAATAGTTTTAAATTATCATATTCCATAAAAACAAAGATACGCATCATCGATATTTATTTAAAGGTTTAAAGGTGATCGTGGTAGATAATGGATGGCATTCTTGAAACCAAGAATTAGTTAGAACTAGTCAGACATCTTATCCATCAAGTGTGCAGTATTTAGAGAAATCAATGTTTGACTAATTGTATTTTCGTCAATATAAAATGGAAAAGACTCAAACGAAAATTTAGCTCTCATAAAACACTTATGAATTATTTTTATAATCTAAACAAAATTTCACTTTTGCTTAAATATATATCTGTAGTTTTTAAGCCTTATTTTTCAACCTTTTTCATTCAGTGTGTTCGGTTTTTTTACTAAATGTCTGCAATTTAGAATTACAAATCTGCTCACCGTTTTTAAATAAAATAATGATACCGTTTAAAAATTATATATTGGTAATTTACTACTTTTTTTAGATGAAAATGATTTTACCGATGAAAGCTGACGATTGTGTATTAATAGGAAAATGTTGCCCAACGATATCCTCCTTAAAATATTCAAATTCCAAAGGAATTCAATTTTTGTCCCAAACTCTAATTTTAAAATCCATGTATCTTTGCAACCCAATGCCGTAGACCCCATGATATTTTTAACTATAAACTTGTTAGACCAAATAGTCTATGATTGTTAAAGTATAGGGATTTGATCATTTAGTTTGTGGCAAAGATTCAATTCCTTTAAACCTGAAATAGAAACTTCTGCCCTGTACACCAGAGCAAGGTTCCACAATCCTCTCCGATCCTGGCACTGAGTAGAACCCTCTGCAAGCTTGTCTCCAGGTCCTCACTGAGTAAGGATCTTAACATTAAATATTTAAAATTTGAATAGATTATTTGAATAGATTATTGCATGCTGGGAATTTATCAAGGTTTCAGAAAACTTTAATGAAAATCTTGAAAAAACTTGAAATATTCAGCAAATTGTTTTTTGTTTTAATGTGACAATTTAACCCAGAAAACAAAAGATTTGATTTAATTTTTGAACTTTTTATGGTAAAATGAACAAAAAAAATGAATAGCAAAATATAATAATATTAAAAAATCTATTACTTACAAAAAGCTAACTGTTGATTTCTTTCGTCCGCCGACCATATTCATGTTAGAATTGGACACCGTTATAGTAATCATATTCTGGTTTGCGTTATTGTTGTTGTTGTTGTTATTGTTATTGTTGTTATTATTATTGTTGTTGTTGTTGCTGTTGACAAGGTTGACTATGGTTGATGAGCTGAGTATTGAGAATGTCATCAGGTTTAGAAAATTAAATCCGTTCCCGGAGCCACATCTCCCTAACAACAAGAAAAATGTATCAATGTCTCTTTTCCGTTCATTCGCCAACTCTGATTTTCTAATCAATAAATCTTTGCCGCCCAATATTTGATTTTCATGATCCATCAACTCATCTACTAATACGGAGAAATCATTATATAAGTCGTGAAGTCAGACTGTAATTCTTACATGATGAAATTATGATGAAAATAGACAAGTGTTCATAAAATACATTTTTCGAAATTTTAAAATTTGTAGATATTTTTCCAAAATAGAAAGATAAAATAGACCTTTGGTATTTCAAACTATGAACTCTGCTAAATCAAGTCGTGAAAGGATGAAATATCAAGGGTTTATATAGTCATAAGAAAATTAGAGTTTGAGGCAGTAACATTCTTAATATAAATATTAAATAGTGATAGATAGATAAAAAATCTCATAACACAAAGGGATTTGATACTCCTGTGACGCAGTTTTTGTAATTCAGATCTGTCTCTTCTATTCTTCTATTTTTATGTTTTTATGTTTAAGTTTTTTTAAAGTCTAAACCCTGCACCTTGTCCTTGATCATGTAAAGACTGGTTAAACTGATCAACTCTAAACATTTTCAGGTTCCGACTGTTCTATTGCCTAATCTTATATATCATCTATTTACAGCTAAAGTGTGTACCTGGAACTACTGTTTACTCTGCTTTGCGCTATATACCAGGATACCAGGATATACAGTTCTTCAGGACACCTTTATACCTGTCATACAACCGGACAGGAGAGGAGTTTCTTCTATTATATTTAAGATTTTCTGGAGTACAGTTCTAATGGCGCTAACTCAAGGAATTCAGTGCTTTTTACTTTAATCGAAAATGTTTACTAAGCATTTACAGCGAATTAAAATTCTGCTCGCCCATACCCAGTTAAAATTAGAACATTGTATTAATTAGTCTTATCGTTAGCTATGACTGGAATTTTAATAAAGCATCGGGAATTCATGACGATATTTAAATGGCATTTTCTAATTTCAAATAAAATCCCATTTTAAACGATTTCAAGCCTTTATATAGTTAGTTCATGTACTATATCAGACAATGTTCTTACATGCAGATACAGGTTTTCAACCTTAAACCTTTTTGTACTATCAGACAATGTTCTTATATGCAGATACAGGTTTCCAACCTTAAACCTTTATGTACTATCAGACAATGTTCTTACATGCCGATACAGGTTTTCAACCTTGAACCTTCATGGCAAATTTTTTTTCTTTATTTCATTTTTTGTGACATGAAAATAATCAAAACATTCTGAAGAGTAGGCAGTATAAGTTCTCCTCCTGGATACAGCTTAGAACTAGACCTGGAGTCAATATACACTAGGACTAGACGCAGGTGTCCTTTTAACCATTTTTATAAGGGGTAGGGAGGGTTCTGTTATTGACATTAAAGAATTAAAGAATGAGATGGAGTATCATTTTGAAATTATGAGGTAAGGAGTTATTTTATAGCTATGAATTTTAAAAAATGTGGTGACAGATATTATTTAAGAATTGGTGAGAGATATTTTTAAAGATTTGGTGTAGAGATATTTTTAAAGATTTGGTGTAGAGATATTTTTAAAGATTTGGTGTAGAGATGTTTTTAAAGGTTTGATGTAGAGATATTTTGAAAGATTTGGTGTAGAGATATTTTTAAAGATTTTGTGAGAGATATTTTTAAAGATTTGGTGAGAGATATTTTCAAAGATTTGATGTAGAGATATTTTTAAAGATTTGGTGTAGAGATGTTTTTAAAGATTTGGTGAGAGATATTTTTAAAGATTTGTTGTAGAGATATTTTTAAAGATTTAATTAAAATCCTAATAATAAAATATTTATTTCTAGCTCTGGGTCTAAGGTTCCAATGCTCCTTATTCCTAAACAATCTGATAAACAGTGTATTCCATCCAACCAGGTTATTTATTAATTAACTAAACAATTAAAAGAACAGAGCTGAAAACTTTAGAATAGGATATCCTTAATCCCGATCTGTTAATTAATCTGAGCTGAAAACTTTAGAATGTAATATTATTAATCCCGATCGGTTAATTAATCTGGAGATTAATAACAAGAAGAGAATAAGCATTATTTAATCTGGAGATTAAGAAAAAGAGGAGATCAAGCATTGATCTTGATATCCACCATTCTGAAGTTTTCACGTCTGTAAACATAAAGTGACTTATCGTTTCCAGCGTAAATTATATAAAATATTTGTCTAGTTGAAGATTGATTATCTTCAAGTGTGGTTTATTGGTCACTTGTGGATTTAAACCCCAGTGAATGAAATTTTCAAATTTTAACACTTTTCAATAAAATTAATGAATTTTAATGATTTTTTAAATCTTTTAGCTTTCTTCAATTGGATTCCTGGGGTTTATAGTCTCCGTGATTAATGCTGCAATGAGTATAGCCAACAACCTCAACAGTAATAACAACAACAGGAACAACAACAACAACGATAATAACGACAACAATGACAACATCAACATCGCCAACTTAAACTCTGGACAGATGAATATGAACATGGTTATGGCAGGACGGAAAAGGTAAAGAGTTGTTTGTGGAGAGAGGAGTGGGTCTTAATGTTTTTTTTTAGTTAAAGTAATTGAGTCTTTGCCACAAACTCTGATGTTTTAGTCCCTATATCTTCAAAACACAAATTAGATATTTCAAACTATGAATTCTGTTGGATCAAAGAATCTAAATTTGAAATATCATAAGATTGCAAAGATATAGGGATTAGAACTTTTGAGTCTGTGGCAAAAAGTCAATTCCTTTAATTTCACAGGCGGAGTTTGTATTCGTCCCTGTTGAGATTAAAACGAGGTGTATCCGGGTTCTGTAGTTCAGAACCTACACCGGAGCAGATTGTAAGTATGGTCGGAGTTGTTTTTATTAAAACATGGTTCAATCTGGTTCTAAACCCGGAGATAAATGAAACATGCGTCCTACACCATATATGTCAGGTATTATAAAAAATCTATATAACAAAGCTCTTTACTCATATATATGTTCGCTATCATGATTTAATACCAAGCGCGGGTAAACGGTGATAGTAACTAATATATTGATTAATGATATAAACCTTGGGAATGCCAGGCACTCCAGCGAGTATTTGATAAAATTAAAAGTGATTATTAACATAATTTCAAGTGATCCTCTATTTAAACCTTTATATATATGCTCCATATCCTTCAGCCTTATATCGGATTAAAACTGAGAAATGAATCGTCGATTCGCTTTCTTAAAAAGATAAAATTTCTCTTTTGCAAAAATTCGCAAGTCACTTATAAAGAGAATTGAAATTGAAAATGCCAATTTTAAGATGATAAAAACATGGATATTTTTTCCTTAAACACAGAGTTAAAGGAACGTGCAACTTTTTAAATGGGTGTCATTTAAAATTACACCAACAGACCCTTTCAATTCTTTTAAAACCAACCATTTTTATATTAACTAGCTGAAGTGCCTGCGTTGCCCGTGGTAAAAGCAAATTTCGAAATATTTGATTTTTGAAAAAGTTGAATTTTTGAAGAAAAAAATTTATTTTTGAAAAAAATATGAATTTCTGAAGAAAAAAAATAGATTTTTAAAAAAAACCGACTTATATAAAAAAAATGTCAGCCTATGTTCCCCCTAGGGTAACCATTGGTTCCCTAAAAAAAATTTCAGCCAATTCAGTCCAGCCGTTTGGCCAGCTATGGCTAACATATATACAAACAAATATATATGAGCGAAGAGCTTTATTAGATAAATGAGTAAATTATTATAAAATTGAAATATTGATAATTATAAATAAATTGTAGGGAAACCAGCAGAGTATTCAAACTATTGATGATAAGGAGGGAAAACGTCTTGCTCTTCACCTGGCAACCGTCCTAACCTCAGTTCTCTCCCTAAACCTTGAACTTGAACCCAACCTAGTTATACAAGCTGGTAGAGCAGGGTTTGATAATGAAAACTGTGAGTTTAAATATTCTTGTAATTAGAGAATGGAAAGCAGGAATTTTGTTAATACTAAATACACTGAAACCACCAAAGATCATTTATGTGATTGCTAGATAATATTTGCAGGTTGCACTACCAGTTATATTATGCTATACAAATGTGTATTATGTCTTTCAGCCGTTACTTCTTTTGGGAATAAGGATGATCGTTAGCTTTTCGTACTGTGGATACTTTTTCCTGTATTGTAATGTTAATAATATCATGTTTATACACTTAACTTTGTTTCATCTGATCTTCATTATTTCCTCCAAGCAAGAACGGATAACACTGAGAACTGAATATTAACAAGAAAGGAAATTCTTATTTTGTAATCCCTATATCCTTGCAACCCAATGTCGTAGAACTTAGATATTTCAAACCATGAATTCTGTTAGATCAAATCATCGAGGTTTGAAATATCTTAATGTTTACACCGTCAGATTGCAAAGATATAGGGATTACAAAACTTGAGTTTGTTGCTAAGACTCAGTTCCTTTATAACCCTTTGATACCACGTGTAATCTGGGCTTATTCATTATAATACCCCTTTTCTAACATTTCTAACATTTTGGGGCTTTCAGGTGTTTTAACAAAATCTGTGGTTTATATTTTATTTTAGATTTTATTCTTTACAAGTTTATTTTTATGACATTATGTAAAACTTTAAGAAATAAAAAACGACCATATTTAAAAAATAGTCCAGGCCTAAATCTTTTGTCAGAGTCAACATTCTTTAAATGGTAAAAAAAATTAAAAATATCCAATTTTTAATTTTTTCTGAGATTTTTTAAAGGCCTTTTTAAAGCCCTAAAAAAAACTAAATTGTTTAATGAGCCACTGTTCGTGAACCATGTCGCCTAAAGACAAGTTTGATCTTCTGCCTCTTGAGATGTTGAAAAATATAAAAACTAGTTGAAATCTCCACCCAGCCCTCCGGCTACCTCAACCAATCTCAAACAAGAAGATTTCGTCAGTTTTCCTTCAGCACCTGTTGCCGGGATCCAGGGTATCAGGAGGGAGATAGCATTTTTTTATTAAGTTTATTATAATTTTTATTGATACTCAAACGTGCGAATGAAACTATTTTACGATTATATTATATCTAGACTGACTTGGAAACTTTTGAATGCTCAGAATGAGTTATCTGGGCATTTTATAAAATTTCGAGGATTTTTATTTTACCGTGAACGAGAAGATCTCCTGAGGGGGGGTTCTATCTTTTTATACGTTTATCTTCCAATTAAATTGGTGGGTTCCCGTTTCACAAGGTTTCCCTTTAAACCTATGTCTAAGCAAAAATGATAAAGATATTCTAATTTTTCTGTCTAAAAATGGTTTATTTCGAACTTTGTAAAAGGGACTCGCGGATGTATGCAAAAGAGACAAAGAATGAAATTTACAGAATTCGGCACTTTTTAAGATTTAAAAACGACAAAATTTCCCCCTCTGATGTTGTTCTCATGAATATCTGACGGTTACTATTGTGTGTGTGCCAATCTCTCAATGCGCGACAAACCCTTCAATGCCTTAAAAAAGACTTGATTCTTTGCTTTATTTAGAAATATCTCAAATCAGATCCCTCTTAATTCTTTTTGCTTATATAGTTTATACAAAGTTTTTATGGTGTGCAAATTTTTGCAAGTTTTTCACAATTTTTTGTTTATTGTTGACAGTTCAACAGTTATATTGCGCAACAACCAGTTCAAGGTTAGGGAAAAAATGCATTCCTAGGCAAATATGGGGATAGATTTAAGCTTTTTATTAGGAGATTGAACTTGCACTGTTTTTTTGTGATACTTAAAAAATATAAAAGATGAAAATGAAGATTCTGTTTCAAAAAGATAAAGAAAGAAAAAACTAGCTCGGAAACCCAGCTCTGCCTGGAAACTTAACTTTTCCTATAAAAGGCAGTCCACTCAACTTGGAATCTTTTAACCAAGCTATAAAATTCCCGTAGTTCTGCTGAGTTCTTCAATCAAAATTCGAGGCAATCGGTCCTGGAGTTATGATTGGACAAACAAACAAACAGACGAACAGAGATTACTGCTTTTCAGATGCTCCTTGTCTCCCCAAATGGAGATTACTTCGCTAAAACTATGCGGGATGCGGCCCAGCAATGCATAAATGCGCAAATTTCCGTATTTTGCGCAAAGTCTGCAAGAAAATGTGCAAATTGCACGGAATGATTTTTACGAAAATTCAACATAAAGTATTGCGTGAAAAGAGATTCCGCAAAGTTATGCATAAAGAATTGCACTGAACATTTAGTGGTTCAAAACGTTTAATTGTGGGCAACATTTATCGATAAATATGACAACATGGCCTTGTTTCGAAAATGATTAAACAATTAGCAGGCGATATTCATAAGTTCCCTAAGCTAACTAACTAAACTGTTAGCATTGTTTTTGCATAATATAAAATCTATCAGTACAGGATGAACCAAAATAATTCAGAATACTTCAAATTCAGAGTTGACGCTCTACCCTGATCTTTCACTGGAAAAATATGTCATGAATAAATCATCCTGAAACCTAGTTATCCATGCAATATAATTTTTTTAATAGTGATTAAATGTTAAATCTTATTTTTAGAAGATGTGAAAAATATGTTTCTTCCACTTTATATATAAGGAAGTAGTCTCTGTTTGTCTGTATGTTTGAATATCCGATCATAACTCCTGAACCCTTAGACCTACTTGCCTAGCCAGGTTTGACAATTCTAAGTTTAGTAGTTTGACAAAGCTGGATAGTTATATATATTAAGAAAAAAAGAATGAATTTTCAGACTTCTGTTTAGATTATATTTCTTTATTTTCCACTTTTCACTTTTTCAATTACAAAATTTATAAATGATGAGCTAACTGAGCTTGATGAATCAGAAGACCAGCATACCAGTCTGCTTCAGCTTGAGACCCGGAGACAAGTCCTGGAATAGTTCCTGGAACTGGTAGATCTCTCTTTTTACGTCCAGCAGTCAGTGCAATATGAGCTAGTTGCTGTTGATACCACTGAGCTTCAGCTTGAGATCCTGGAACAAGTCCTGGAATAGTTCCTGGAACTGGAAGCTCTCTCTTTCTACGTCCAGCAGTCAGTGCAATATGAGCTAGTTGCTGTTGATACCACTGAGCTTCAGCTTGAGAACCGGAGACGAGTCCTGGAATAGTTCCTGGAACTGGAAGCTCTCTCTTTTTGCGTCCAGCAGTCAGTGCAATATGAGCTAGTTGCTGTTGATACCACTGAGCTTCAGCTTGAGATCCTGGAACAAGTCCTGGGATAGTTCCGGGAACTGGAAGCTCTCTCTTTTTACGTCCAGCAGCCAGTGCAATATGAGCTAGTTGCTGTTGATACCACTGAGCTTCAGCTTGAGATCCTGGAACAAGTCCTGGAATAGTTCCTGGAACTGGTAGATCCCTCTTCCTACGTCCAGCAGTCAGTGCAATATGAGCTAGTTGCTGTTGATACCATTGAGCTTCAGCTTGAGATCCTGGAACAAGTCCAGTAGTTCCAGGGACAGGAAGTTCATAAGCACCTGCTGCTCCCAGACACAGAAAAAAACTCAGGGCTAAATTCATCTAGAAATAATTAAAATTTTGAAATTGTATTACAATTAACTGTCCTATGGCCAAAAAGAGATAAGTTTTTTTTATTGATTTAAAAAAACGTATTTACAGTTTTTTAAATCTCAAAAACTCAAGTTCTGTCCATACGACGATTTTTTTTGGGGTGTGGGTTTCCATATAAAAGAATATTAAGATTTTAAATATGGAACTATACATTTTTGGCATTTAGTGTACATGAATGAAATACTCAATTTGTTGAAACTAGTTTGATTAATTATCTGGGCATTTTATAAAATTTCGAGGATTTTTATTTTACCGTGAACGAGAAGATCTCCTGAGCAGGCAACTTCTCTAACTGGAGTAGATAGCGCAAACTTTGATATTTATACCAGAACCATTTTCAAGTTTCTGGGCGGCGGGGGGAGAAACTTGTGGGGTTGATTCAACAGGGGCAATGCAAGGAGATGAAAGGAGGAGGGGTGGAGGCCTTTCAGAAATAATTAGAAAAGAAATAGAAAAACGTGATTCCAATGATCTGAAAAAAGTGTAAAACCATACAACTTTTAACCCATCCCCCCTTTTCATCCTATGGGTAACATCTGGATGGGAGAGGGGGGGGATTAGACAGGTTATAATTGCGCAGAGTTCAGAGATATTCAAAATAACAAGAAGTTTAAAAATAGAAAAAATAACAAAATAAATTATGAAACAATTCTTTTTTGTTTGTTCTTTTACCAACTTATAAAACTGGTTGAATTTGATGCACTGGAGGAACCTGTTACACGCTATTATGTCGTGTTTAGTCCTGTCTTGTCTAGTCCTGTCTTGTCTAGTCCTGTCTTGTCTAGTCCTGTCTTGTCCATTCCTGTCTTGTCTAGTCCTGTCTTGTCTAGTCCTGTCTTGTCCATTCCTGTCTTGTCTAGTCCTGTCTTGTCTAGTCCTGTCTTGTCTAGTCCTGTCTTGTCTAGTCCTGTCTTGTCTAGTCCTGTCTTGTCTAGTCCTGTCTTGTCTAGTCCTGTCTTGTCTAGTCCTGTCTTGTCTAGTCCTGTCTTGTCTAGTCCTGTCTTGTCTAGTCCTGTCTTGTCTAGTCCTGTCTTGTCTAGTCCTGTCTTGTCTAGTCCTGTCTTGTCTAGTCCTGTCTTGTCTAGTCCTGTCTTGTCTAGTCCTGTCTTGTCTAGTCCTGTCTTGTCTAGTCCTGTCTTGTCTAGTCCTGTCTTGTCTAGTCCTGTCTTGTCTAGTCCTGTCTTGTCTAGTCCTGTCTTGTCTAGTCCTGTCTTGTCTAGTCCTGTCTTGTCTAGTCCTGTCTTGTCTTGTCTAGTCCTGTCTTGTCCAGTCCTGTCTTGTCTAGTCCTGTCTTGTCTAGTCTTGTCTTGTCTAGTCCTGTCTTGTCAAGTCCTGTCTTGTCTATTCCTGTCTTGTCTATTCCTGCCTTGTCTTGTCCTGTCTTGTCTAGTCCTGTCTTGTCTAGTCCTGCCTTGTCTAGTCCTGTCTTGTCTAGTCCTGTCTTGTCTAGTCTTGTCTTGTCTAAACCCGTCTTGTCTAGTCCTGTCAAGGACGAATGAGGATTCATATCCTGTCAGGTTTTACTCCTTCTCTCATTTCTCATCATTTGGACCCCGTGACTTAAGACAAAACATACTTTACCCCCCTTCAACCATTTCGTTTGTAATTTTAGTTGAGGAATTAGGGGGGGGGAGGAGAGGGAAAGAATGATGGGGAGGGGTTATGAGAGCGAGATGGGGGTGGAAAAGGAAGGGGAGGATGAGAGGTGGTAGAAGAGGGAGGCAAGGAGGGGAGGTGGTAGAAGAGGAAGGGAAGGATGGGAGGTGGTATAAGAGGAATGAAAGGATGGGAGGAGGGTTAGAAGAGGGAGAGGGGGTAGAAAAGGACGGGGAGGGGGTAGAAGAGGAAGGGTGGAAAGAAGAGTAGTTGTAGTAAAATCCTAAATGAAAACTTAGATTTTGATTATCATGTTTCTCTTGTTGCAAAAACAATTTCAAAGTTTCTTTATTGGCTTAATAAATGAAAAATGGTCTATCTCTTAAAGCGCTTAAATCCCATGTACCAAGCACTGATTCATCCTTATTTCTTCTATTGTTTTATTGTTTACACTTACAGCTATACACATTAAAAGAATATTAAAAAATTGTATTTTTTGAAAAATAGAAACATTCAACTAATTTGCCATTCTGAATATAAATCCCACACTGACCCTCTCTTGTCTTCCTTGAATATTCTACCTTTCCCAGATTTAATTCAGCGTTGAAATCTCAAAATTCGAGATACAGAGAAGATTTAAGTTTAAAACTTTACAACTGGAAGTGCTACAGAGTGTTAATAGTGTTAATAGTGTTATAGGTAATTGCAAAAAATGTATTTGCACTTGTCCTAATTTCTTGATATTATATATGCCACAAATAAAATAAAACCTTAATTTTTATTTTTATTTCATTTAGATAAAAAAAACTATTGTTAGATATGTAGATAAATCTGGGAAAGTGCACAATAGTTTCATAAAATGTTTTGCCATTTCTAACTGTATACTCAAACTTTTTTATTTAAAGATAAGAAAGCTCTTTAAAACCCACTAAACCTAACCTGAATGCTCTGATATATCAAGAAGCAGTACGTTTATGAACATTTTATTTTTTAACATTGTTGCAACATCCTTGAATATGATGTTTATTGTTCATATTTCACACATTTAGCAAGAGTTAGGTTTACTGCAATATTCATTTTAGAGCTTGCAGCGCTTAGGTTATACTTAAAATACTCCAATATTAAAAATGAAATGCATATTAGGTTTTTGTAGCATTTTTTTATTAAGTTTATTATAATTTTTATTGATACTCAAACGTGCGAATGAAACTATTTTACGATTATATTATATCTAGACTGACTTGGAAACTTTTGAATGCTCAGAATGAGTTTGGCTCATTCTGAGAATACCGAATTTTCATTGGTTCAATATTTCGTGGATTTGGTCAGTGAGAGATCAATCTGAAGTCAGGATTTATGAATAATCTTGTAAGTACAAATCTCGTTAGAAAACATCCATTTAGGAAACATCTTATTAAGAAACATCTAATTCGGAAACATCTTATTAGGAAACATCTAATTAGGAAACATCTAATTGGGAAACATCTAATTAGGAAACATCTAATTAGGAAACATCTTATTTGGAAACATCTAATTAGGATACATCTAATTAGGAAACATCTAATTAGGAAACATTTTATAAGGAAACTTAAAGTTTGAAATTATTTTGTTAGGAAACATTAATATGCATAAATGTATTTCGGAAACATTATGAACAAGATGTATTTATCTAATAGGAGCTCTCTGCCTCATCATTAAGGTTAAACAAACATTAAATTAACTCAACTAAAATTAATTGACATCCTTCCTTTCCTACGAAATTTTTTGTGAAAATCCGCGAATTATTTTTGTTTTGTTTTACGATGTACACAAAGAGAACATGTTCACAATTAATTTAGAAGATGGGCGCAAAGCGCCCTATAAGGCAAGTACTGTTATATAATAGGATAAAGATAGTAAAATTAAAAACATATTCTCCCTATCTGTAGATTATTCTGTGCATGAACCACTATTTGTGGGATTTCCTTGATGCAAAATGTATTTTTTTCTTCATAGGATTGAGTTCTGTATTCTGTATAAACATGTAGAGTATAGGAAACCGAGTTTCCAGAATATCACGGTCAGCTGATATTTTTCAGGTTTGTGTGCATGGTGGAGAAATATATACGTGCTGTCAATCTTTAATATTTTATATTATCTGTGTGTGTGTTTTCAGTGTGCGGAGATATGAGGGTAGGTTTGAGTGTGTGCGGAGATAGAGGAAAGAGCGGATTCAGATATGCAGAAGAGGATAGACGCGAATATCCCGGTAAGTTGCGGCAGTGAGCGGTAAACTCTACCCCGGAGTAGGACGGATACAACCTATAGTATTTAGCTGAACTCCGGAATAGAAAATATATAAACTATCGTGTTATGCAAAACTTAATGTAAGACATAAATAATATGTCTTGTTTAACTCCGGAGTTGAACGTTTTTAGTTCTTTGTGTATGTTCGGAGCAGGACTGATGTTCTTTCTTGTTTTTTTTTTCGAAGAAAGATGAAAAGTTCCGTCCCCCATTTTTTTCCTTCCTTTTTCCTCCTTTTCTTCTCCTTTTCTTCCCCTTGTTATCATCCTCCTCCTCTGTCTCCTTCTCTTTGCCCTCTCAATCTTCATCCTCCTCCTCCTCCTCTTCCTCTTCCTCCTTCACATTCACATCCTCATTTTCCTCCTCTTCCTCCTTTTCATTCTCATCCTCATTTTCATCCTATTCCTCCTTTTCGTTCTCATCCTCCTCGTCCTCCTCTATTCTCCTCCTCTTTCTCCACCTCCTCCTCCTCCTCCTAATGTTCTGCTTAATGTACCTAAAACACAAACAATGGGAACATAATCTCTTGAAATATGAAACTTCCAATAAATGAAAACCGTGTTTGAGAATAAAGAAGTTTCACAAACTGAACTTGAAACTAAATAAAAGGTAATCGTCAAAAAAGTTTTCGGAAATAAAGTCCTAAATTTTGGCACTAAAAAATCATGTGGAAAAAAAGTCCTCAAAATTAAATGTCTCTGGAAATAAAGTCCTACTATTTTTAGACTTTATTTCATAGCACTTTTTCCTGGTTCCAGTATGATTTTATACAAAAAAGTCTCCGGAAAAAGGTCCTATTATATAGTAGAAAATACATGGGAACGAAGACCATTTTCAAAATGCAGATGCATAGGAAAAAGTACTTTTCAGACTTGACCTCATTAGGACTTTTTTTCTTCGGATATATTTTCTTCAGGACTTTAATCCCTGTGATCTTATTTCATGAGACTTTATTATTGGCAGCTCCCATATTATTTTAGGAAAAAAAGTCCCAGGAATCTAAAACTAAGGACTTTTCCAGAACTTTTTTCCGGGGACTTTCTTACATAGATTCAAATAAAATACATCTACATTTTTATTGCAGTATGGGGTATTGTGTAATTAAGAGAATTATATGATTTCTGTTTTATTAAAAAGGATTAAATTGTTCGCACTATAAAGGAACTAAATGCTTGCCACAAACAATCTAATCATGACATCTTTGCAACCTGATGTGGAAGACCTTTAACATTCCAAGAGTCTTTTTTAACAATTTTCTCCTTATAGACGCAATAGATAGAAGAAAAGTTAGTAGCGATCATCATCGATAATTTTTCGCTGTAAGCATATACCCCTTTCCATTTTTCGCGAACACTCCCTTTTTAAAACAGTTTTATATTTTTTTCGCAATAAAAACTGCCTCGTATACTATATGTAGTATGTACACTGTACAATATACAAAACTTCTCCTCCTCCTTTTCTAAATCTGATTTTCAATCTCTGTCCAGAGCAGAAGTATCTAGAGTTTCAAAATAAATCTAAAGGGAACTTAAACAAAACTAAAAGATTAAAATAAATAAAGTTTTGACAAATATGAGATCAAAGACGTAGCAAGGTGCGATGAATAAATTCCTTTTGATTAAAATATCTATTTTGAAAAAGATTAAAACTTTTTAATATAAATATTTACCTTAAACGAAAAATTTTCTTTCATCAAACAAGAAATCTGTATTTACAAAAGTTTTGGAGAAGGTAATAAGGCAAGGAAAGTTAAATGCTGTTGCGTATCTCTGCATACATATTGAAACCAGCTCTCTCTGGGCGGTGTTTGTAAACAAGAATAGATGCATTAGTGCTACTCTAGTATCCGAGGAGAATAAAAGCATTTAATTTTGAAAATTTACATAATAGTTTCCTATGACCAAAATATTTAACTTATTTTTATGTGAAAGATGGATCCCATCCGTCTTGTGTTTACTTAACAGCCCAAAGAAGTACACTGAAGTACTAAAAATGCGCACACCTCTGATATAACTATCTTTACATTAGACTTCTTGGTTTGGGATAAACATTGGTACACATAATCATTATTCACATCATATGAATATTAGTATCTGATCAATGTTTTTTTTGTCCAAGAATTTAAACTAAATATAAAAAAAGATTTTGTCTTTAAGTCTGAGTTATAGAAACTTAACAAATTGGTATTTTTGTTACATACAAATTAATTCAGTGGCTGAAAGATCGAATTTTTTGCTTTGTAATTTGAATATTTCAGAGTCAGGTTATGATAAACCAAAATTGTAGATTTGAATTAATTTGATAAATCCCGTTTGCGAAAAAAATTCTTTTTGAAATTATATATTTTCATGAAAATTGCTTTAGTTTATGATTTTGATCCAGAATTAAAAAAGGTAAAACCTTTTTATTTAATTTATTAAATTATTTTAATTAATTTATTTATTTAACTAAGTCGGCTTGGTTCCCCTTTCCCTTGCAGGTTTAATTAAACCGTCTTAAGAACGATCTCTTGGTGAATTTCCAGTATTTTCTGAATTATAATTTGTGTATTTTATTATACGTGAAGTATCTATCCCTTGCGAGGGGTTGCTGGACTTCAGCTTTATTTTGAATAATATTTACAGAGAGAAAATGCAAGAATTTAGTTTATTCTCTAGTGCTGCAGCAAGTGTAAATTGATACGTTGAAATCTTACTTGCTAAGTCAAAACATTCTGCTTCAATCAACATATCATACTTTACATTCATATACAATACTTACACCAGATACTTTTCATACCTCTACTTCCTTATGTTCTCCAACCTAATACAATACTTNTAATATTTTTCCCATAACTATTTATAAAAGTCCAGGTTTTATGAAGATTGCTGCGTAAGATCTCCTGAGCCCGGAATGAAAGTTAGTTTATGAAATCTGACTCTTTAGCTCTATAAACCTACATATTTATAAATAGTTGATATCGTTAAACCCTGGTAATATCATGATGATATATATTTCAGAACAGCTGAAGATGATTAGTTTTATATTTGTGAATGTAGAGCCTAGTCCTGTGGTTAAACTAGAATTGAATCAGCTAAAATGTTAATAATCAGTTGAGGTTATGCATACAAATGTTACTTAACAAATATTCGTCAAGTCTAGTGATTAAGTGATGATGAGAAAACAGAAATAACAAAGAATGAAGATTGAAAAGTCTGGAAGAGAGGAGAAAACTATATACTCCAGTGAAGAGAGTGTGAAATTAGGGAAAAATCAAAAAAAGTATTCTAAAATTCAAAATAAAGTAAAGTTGAAAGATGAGTGAAACTGGACACAGAGATCCCTTTGATTTCAATATTTGTTGTTTTAGTTCTGTTCAACTCTATCCTTGCAACTTCTAGGTTAACAATCTTTGATTTATTTGGGTTCAGTTGACGAGATATCTGGTAGGTTTAGTAGACCAGGATCTCTACTCAGTAGAGATGGATCGGAGAGAAAAGATTCTCCCTTCTCCAGACGCAGGGACAAAATCAAACCAAGTTTAAAACTTAAGATGACATCGATTATATCACACTTTAAAGGATACAGACAGGACTACAAGGAAAAAGATAGAACTGCAAGGATAAGGATAAGGATAGTACTTCAAGGATAAGGATAGTACTTCAAGGATAAGGATAGGACTACAAGGATACGGATAGAACTACAAAGATAAGGATAAGGTTAGGAATACAAGAATAAGGATAAGGATAGGACAACTTGGATAAGGATAAGGATAAGGATAGGACTACAAGGATACGGTAGAAATGCAAGGATACGGATAAAACTACAAAGATAATGATAGAACCACAAGGATAAGGACAAGGATGTAACTACAAGGATAAGGAAAGAACTACAAGGAGTAGGATTTGACTACAATCATAAGGATAGAACTACAAGGATAAGGATAAGGATAGAACTATAAGGATAGGAATACAAGGATAAGGATAGGGATACAAGGATAAGGATAGAACTACAAGGATAAGGATAAGGATAGAACTATAAGGATAGGAATACAAGGATAAGGATAGGGATACAAGGATAAGGATAGAACTACAAGGATAAGGATGGAACAACAAGGATAAGGATTGAACTACAAGGATAACGATAGGATGACATGGATACTGATAGGACTACAAGGATAAGGATAGGACTACAAGAATACCGATAGAACTACAAAGATAAGGATACATAAATATGGATAGGACCAAATGGTTAAGGATAGGATCGCAAAGATAAGGATAGGATTACATGGATACGGATAGGACTACATGGATAAGGATAGGACTACATTAATAAGGATAGGACTACATGGATACGGTTATGACTCCATGGATACGGAAAGGACTACAGGGATGCAAATAGGACTACATGGTTACAGATAGGACTACATGGATACAGAAAGAACTACGTGGATACAAATAGGACTACATGGATACAGATAGGACTTCATGGATACAGATAGGACTTCATGGATACGAATAGGACAACATGGGTATAGAAAAAACTACATGGATGCAGATAGGACTACATGGATACAGATAGGACTACATGGATACGGATAGGACTACAAGGATAGAATTAGGACTACACGGATACATATAGGACTACATGAATACAGATAGGACTACATGGATACAGATAGGACTACATGAATACAGATAGGACTACAAGGATACAGAAAGGAGATTCATGTGAACTAAAGAACGGATTGTTTTGTCGCTACAGGAGACGTCAGGCTCACTCCTTGTTTGATGAGAAAGGTTCCTCTGCTCAGTTTGACGTGGAGGCGGTCAAATTGGATCACACCAGGTATTCACCAGTTCTTATTCTCACACACCATAACTGTCAGATCATTCAGATCTGACAGAGTAGGGTGCGAGCCGACCAGGAACTGCTCCGAGCCGCACAAAAATTTCTAAAAAGTGTACAGAGGTGGTCTGTTACAAGAAACTAAAGCTGAATAACAATAAGGAAGAATTCTTTCGTTTTTCAATCTAGAAAAATGTCAAATGATTTCAATTTTCTTCTTTTTCTCTGTAGCATAAATCCGCAAGTCACTTTCACAGACAAGCAACAATGGAAATCAGACATGCCACGTTTGCGTTTATGTAAAGTCCCAAAAATCTGTTTTAAAGAAAGTAATTCAGGTTTGTTTTATTTGAATAAATTATAATCTGAATTAGATTACTTTCCTAATTATTATTTCTGTTGGTGATATTATTTTTTTTATTGATCTATTTAGCAACAGATAATTATACAGTTTTCTAAGTTTTCTAACCCGCATATATATAAATATACATCATACATTATACATTAGAGATTATACATATATTCAATCAAAGTATGAATATAAACAGACAACTCAGTACACAATAAACTTTATGACAAGTGCATGGAGTACATGTAGTACTTTAACTAATAATATTACTGTTAAAGAATTATTAAGTACACGTAACCTAGAAAAGTACATGGAGTGCATGTAGTACTTTAACCAATTAAATTAATATTTTAGTATTATTAAGTAAACGCAAAGAGAATAGAATATATATTAGAGTGGAATTTACTAGAAAAAAAGTGTAAAATAGCCATTTTGTTGTACTGTTTCCATACTGCAGGTGTACTTCACATATTTATGCTATATAACCTTTTGGGTCCTGGAACATCATTTTATAGAAAATCTAAAATTAATAATAAAAGAAAACCAAATTATGAAATAGGCTGGTTTCATAATTGACCAATGATCATTTCACATAGGCTCTATGCCTTTCACTTTACAAACGATGATTTTCCGTTATAACTATAGATCAAATGATCTTCTTTATTCACCTAATTCATTTTATAAAGTTTATTTAACAGCTTTAAAAAATTCGAAATTGAAATGGATAGTCTAGGGAACATACTGTATTAATGTACTCTACTGCATATAATTTGTGAACATTCATAATATAAATACAACATGAACACACTTATAACATAAATAGAATATGAACATTCATAATTTATAAATACAACATGAATACACATATAACATAAATACAACATTAACATACATATAACATAAATACAACATGAACACACATATAACATAAATACAATATGAACACACATATCACAGAAATACAACATGAACATACATATAACATAAAAACAACATGAACATTCATATAACATAAATACAACATGAACACACATATAACATAAATACAACATGAAAATAAAACGAAAATTCATACACATGAACAAAAATAAAAAAAATTCATATACAACATTAAAAAAATCGAAAATACATGTATACATTCATAAAACATAAAGTAACATCAAACATACATAAATACAGCAACCAAAATAGTACAATACATAAAAACAAGATGAGAAACATCGGAAAACAACTTATACAATATAAAATTTAAATATACCATAATGAAACGTACATATTAATTTTTTCAGTCACTGCAAACTATGCAGAAGAAGATCTCAGTCCTTCAGATTATCTCTTAAACTTGAGATAATTATATTTACCTTTCTCTATTTTTATCGCATTAAGCCTATACCCCCTTTCATTTTTCGCGAATACTCCCTTTAATATAAGCATAAATTTGACCAGGAACTGAGCTAAACTTGTTTAATAATCGAATATGATTATATCAAGAATATCAAGAATATTAACCAATATCAATCGCTAATTTATGGCTCTTCCTCAATATATGAGGAGAATCAATAAAACTTTGGATTAAAAGGGAGTGTTCGCGAAAAGTGAATGGGGGCAAAGGCTGATATCGAATTGTATTCGATATCGATCGCTGCTAATTTTACTTTTATCTGTTGCGTATACTAGGAGAAAATGGTTAAAAACGTCTTATAATAATATCTGAATGCTTAATTTTAAACTTAATTGAATTATTTACGATTTGAGTGGAATAATGTGAATTATATGGACGCTACGCTCTTATATATATATACTTTAAACGACGTTTTTTTTTGGTCGAGAGGTGTTCCTCCCAAGTTCCGCAATTTAAACCGTATATTTTTGGACCACCTCCTCTTATATCTTTTATCTTTACAAATGAAAAAGGAAAGCAGAGCGACGATTTATAAAATATAAATGTTTATCTATGTATGCAAGTATATGTTAATTACCTAAAGCTGGCCAAACCGTATCACTTTACGTATAGAATTGTGACAAAAGAAAATGTTACAGTTTTCCCCCCTCTCAGTAACATTGGTTGATAGTTAGGTGGCATACCCCTCGTATTGCCCATTCAGACGTAGGAAACTGTTTCTGCCGATTATGGGAACATTTTGGGATTACCACGGACAACGCCGGGTACTTCCGTTAGTTTATATAGTACTACAGAATATGTTGACTTATTCATCCCCTACCGTCTATCCCCTGAAAATATTTTATGAATAGTTGAAAACATGTTTTCAAATAAAATATATTATGTTTATCTGGGGGATGATAAATATTTCTCTCTGCCCTAGAACACCAATAAAACAATCATTTCATTCTTATTTTCAAAACGTTGTGAAAACAGCTTTAAAACCTTTAATGATAAACAAGTTAGGGTTCTTATCTAAACCTGGGGAAATTTGAACTTTAGATTAAATATTACAATTTTCATGTATTTCTGCGCCCAAAGGCAACAAGTTTTTGTAGCTTCCAGGCTCCGGCCAAGCACTTAGCTCTGTTTGTTTTTCTGTATATCTTGCAAGAAATATTTATCCTACAGGGGTTGCACTGTCACATACAGATGATAAAATTTGAAAAGTACTTCAGTCAGGATGATATCTAAGGTTTATCAACACGCTTTAAGCATAAGTACTAATTTCAATACTTTTAAAATTTTTTACTGAATGGCTATTTTCAAAGGAATTGAGTCTTTGCAACAAACACAAAATGTCAAATCCCTATATTTATGCAACCTGATGAAGTAAATCTTTGATATTTCAAACTTAGATTATTTGATCTAACCCAATTCGTAGTTTGAAATAAGCTAAGCTTAAAGATTTGAAAGAGAAATATGAAGATAGGAGCAGAAAAGAAAAATGAAGATAAAAAGTGAAAAATTAGAAACATAAATAATATATTCTTAATCCAGCTAAAAGCTAAATATTTCTCTCTATTTAAGAAGTATGTGCTACAGAACCTATAACAAGGAGGACGTGTACTCAATTTTTGAAATGGAAAACCAAGATTCAATTATTCATGCTATTCAAGGTATGCATTTAGATCTTTAAAATATATATATTTATATATTTTTATGTATTTCTCTAGACCTGGTTAACCCTGGAGCAGACCTAGGAGCTCTACTTCTAGCTGCAGTGTGGGAGGAGAAGGAATCCGTGGTTGAGAACCTACTCCGGAAAAAAGTATCTCCAGATACAAGAGATACTGAGGGAAGATCGTGTCTGCATCTAGCAGCAGTTCGAGACAACCCTACCATCCTCTCCCTCCTCCTACAGTTCAAGGTAGAGTAGGATAGGTTCAATACAACCCTGCCATCCTCTCCCTCCTCCTACAGTTCAAGAGAAAGCTTAAAGCTATAATCTTTTTATATATTTTTTTTCAATGCCAGAACTGGAGAATGGTAGAGTACGATGGTAAACTTAAGTAAATGACATACATACACTTTAAGTAATTTTCATCAAGAAAATCATCAAAAAATAAATGAAACTTAAACAATTATTTCAAATCTCCATTTAACGTCACAATTTCAAATGGCTTTAACGGAACAAAATAACGTTCACTACACTTTAAATTGTCACATGAAAATAAAAGACTTTTTATGCAAAAATCATTTTTACTTTGCAGAATTGTAAATACCATGGATATAAAGCATTCAAAGCCAATAGTAACTAGATTATAGGAAATCTTTTAAAAGGTTAATTTTTCCTTTGTAAGTACTACGACTTTGTTCTATCATGTTTAATGGAGATTACATTTAGAAAAGAAAACAAAGGAAGTTCAGCAACATTCTCTGATTTTCTAACCCCAATATCTTTGCAACCCATGAATAATTTGAATTCTGTCAGATCAATAAGTCTGATTTTGAAATATCAAAGGTTTTAACCATTAGGATGAAAAGATGTAGGGATTAAAAAAATTGAGTTTGTGGCAAAAACTTAGTTCCGTTATTTACTTTCACATTAAATATTCCTAATCATCTTAGAATCATATTTGCTGAATCTCCCTGCATGAGATATGTTTAAAGCCTGCTGAGTAGTGGAGTGTAAGAATATTCTCTTTGTTTGTACTCCTGGTGTGTTTATCTAAGAATATGATGTGTGAGCTGTGTAGTTCTGAATTGAGAAGTTATGTCTGGGTTTAATATTTTGTCTGTTTGTATTGTGCTTGTATTGGAACCTATTCAATTTAGTTTGTTGTATTGCCCTACATCAAGATGGAAAGAAAAACAAAAAATGAAACATTTGAAATTATTGCCCGGCTTTTTCTCCCCAAAAGATGAAACACGAGAGATGTTTTTCTTGCTTTAACTTGTTAAAGAAATATGTTATTCTAGGGAAGTGTGAACTGCTGGGACGGGTCGGAAAGAGCCACTCCTCTCTTCTGTGCGGCGGCTATTGAGAACTCTAAATGCCTCCCTATTCTCCTGGCTAGTGGAGCTGATCTGAACCAAGGACTACATGAGTATGGGTTGTCTGCGGTTCACTGTGCTACAAGCAGTAATGCTATTAATAACCTGACTTTACTCCTGGAGATGGGAGCTCAACCTAACTCCGTTCTTCTCTACAGGTATTTAAATATTAAATGAATTGAGTATTTGCAACAAAATCAAATTTTCTCATCCCTATATTTTTGCAACCTGATGGTGTAAACCTTTTATATTTCACAGTTATATTATTTATTCTAAATACAGGCAGAATAGTTTGAAATATCTAGGGTCTATACGTCATTAGGTTCCAAAAAAATCTGGATGTAGAAAAATTAAAGTTTTTGGCAAATGCTCAATTCCTTTCTTTTAAAATAAAAATTTTAAAGCTGGTAGTAATGTTTTTCTTAAATAATATTCTGCAAGGAAGGCAAATACTTTGCAATTTGTGCAATTATAACATTATTTATATGACGTTATATATCATAAACAAAGGATTTCTTTCAATTTAAATTTATGATGATCCGATCATATGTTACTGTGTCCGAATTTTATGAATTTAAGCCGCGTCTCAAATCCCCCAAAAACCGGTTTCATTGAGCGCCGGTTTAAATCTTGAAAAATTGAATACAATTTTAAGTGGAACCAACCATATTTGAGCCGCGGCTCAAATTCTATAAATTTGGCCTCTGGTCCAACTTTTAAAAAATCACAAAATACAAGAATTCTCTCCAAGAGGGTTATCTCATAGGTTCCTATTGTATCTCCTTAGCATTTTATTTACTTGATTTGTTTATTTTCTAACATTTAGATTTAGTTTTCCCTTGATATGTATTTATATTATTTAGTGAGACCCCGCTTCATATTGCATCAAGTATGGGATATTTATTTATATTATTTAGTGAGACCCCGCTTCATATTGCATCAAGTATGGGATATTCAGAATGTATGAGAATACTCCTGGATCATGGTGCAGGTATATAAATACAACCCAGAGAATAAAACCCAATCCTTAGAGGAGGTAAATACAACGCAGAGAATAAAACCCATCCTTAGAGGAGGTAAATACAACCCAGATAATAAAACCCAATCCTTAGAGGAGGTAAATACAACCCTTAAGCAATAGAATACAACATAAGCTTAGAGAATGAAACACAACCTTGGTAAATGTAAATACAATCCTGAGAATAAAACCCAACCTGGAACGAGGTAACCTCGGAAAAGGTAAGTAAAACTAGAAGAATGAAAGCAAACCTTGGTTGTAGATGCAACCCAGATAATGGATCAAAACCTTGAAGGGGGTAATTAAAACCTGGGAAAAAAACTAAACTCGGAGGAATCCGTTGAGGAAATTAACCCAACCCTGAGATTGGAGGAGGTAAATTCAATCCGGAGAATCAACCTATCCCGAACCCGGAGAAACCCCAACATTTAGCAGGAAACAATGTCCAACAACCTTGGAGCAGATAAATCCAACCTGGGGTTCAAAAACCCAACCTGGGGTACTTAAACCGAACTTGGAAAACGCAAACATAATCTTTAGTATCTTAACTAACCCTGGAGTATGTTAAGCCATGTTTAGAGCAAAACTAAACCTAGAACCCAACTAAGAAAGAACATAAACTTGATATAGAGGTGTTTAACTCTAACTAAAGAAGGTTAACCTAATCAGTAGCATTCCTTCTTTTTTTCAAAACAATAGATTAATTTTTCTAGATATGATAAACAAGCATTTTATTCCTAGAGTCATAAATATGAATTAATCATCTTGGGTTAAAGGAGAAACATCATAATCCTCATCCTCTCTAAATATGTCTTCTCAAAGGGAATATATTTTCTTTGAAAATTTGTATGAATTGATTTGATGGATTAATGAAATGAAAATACAGTACATGATGTACAAGATGTGTATAATGAAAGTGAGAAAGGACTGATAAATTGTGAAATTATTATATTTTATTTACATTAACAGAAGAATGAGTAATCACATATGTAATGAGAGTATAAGTGAAAAGAAGGATAAGTAGTTCTCTCCATGTTCTCGTCTACGAAACTACTGGTTTGTGGATTTATGTCACCTTGTTAGTGGATTTCTTCTTTGACGAGGAAGACGATATTAGCTCCGCTACAAGATTACTATAAAAGAGAAAAGATTGATTGTCTAGGAACAATGATTGATATTGTTCAGGAACTGAAATGTTAATTAATTATTGATATTGTTCAGGAAAAACTGAAAAGTTTATTAATTATTGATATTGTTCAGGACCTGAAATGTTAATTAATTATTGATATTGTTCAGGAAGTGAAATGTTGATTAATTATTTATATTGTTCAGGAGCTGAAATGTTAATTAATTATTGATATGGTTCAGGAACTGAACTGTTAATTAATTATTGATATTGTTCAGGAACTGAATGTTAATTAATTATTGATATAGTTCAATAGCTGAAATGTTAATTAATTATTGATATTGTTCAGTAACTGAAATGTTAATTAATTATTGATATTGTTCAGGAACTGAAATGTTAATTAATTATTGATATTGTTCAGGAAGTGAAATGTTAATTAATTATTTATAGTTCAATAGCTGAAATGTTAATTAATTATTGATATTGTTCAGGAACTGAAATGTTAATTAATTATTGATATTGTTCAGGAACTGAAATGTTAATTAATTATTGATATTGGTTAGGAACTGAAATGTTAATTGGAAGTATGAGAATGTCTGCTCTACACCTGGCTGCTCAAGAGGGAAATGTAAACTGTGCTTCTCTTCTTCTCAATCGTGGAGCTGACCCACACGCTAAGAATGCGCGTGGACAAAGCGCGCTTCATCTAGCCGCGCTCTCACAGTCTCCAGAAACTATGGAGCTTCTTCTATCAAAAGGTAGAAAACATAATAAAACATATATTATTAAGCACTGTGCAACTATAAAAAAAACTCGAGTTAACCTCTGAAATATATTCGTTACATGAGTACGAGCCAACTTGAAAAACGTCTTAGATTTCCGATAATTAAAAAATAACAAAGAGTGCAGAGAAAAAATGTATTTCTTAGATATATATGTCTATCAAGATAAATAGATAGATGCATAAAGGAAAATCTATTTTTTTTAAAACACTTCTTTATTAGCTTAAATATAGACGGATAGGCTTTACAGCTTCTCCGGCCCATTGTTGACAAAACTGCAAGGTATCATATTTGTTTCTGTTATTTTTCGTTGTTAATTTCTAATTTTTGGGCAGACAAACTGAGTTTAAGACGGATCCATTCATCCTCAATTGGAATCCATTTTTCTTTCTTGGTGATATATGTTTATTTGATACTCTCTCTCTCCCCCCCCCCCCCCCCCCCCCTCATAAAGGAAAATATAAATGTTGATCAATGTGATATTTTCTAAGCTGGTGAACAATAACTATCTCTAGTTTGCAGTTGTCAGGGTTTACGATTTTATCAGTGTTATCCTTATCCCGGAGTATTGTGTTCTCATCCTATCTAGTCTAGATAAATATTCATAGTTTTAAATCAGATCTTTACTTCTCTCCTGGCTATAGTATAAAAACTTGCTCTATATTCAATATACTGAGTACACTCGTCCTGTATAAAGTTCATTTGCTTAAAGTACACCTGTCCTGTAAACAGTACACCTGCCTTGTATGCAGTACACATGTCCTGGATATGATACATCCGTCCTGTAAACATTACACACGTTCTGAGTACAGTAAACCGTGGCCCTGAATACAGTAAACCTGTCCTGTATAAAGTACACTTGTTCTGAATACAGTACATCTGTTTTTAGTACAGTACATTGGTACTGTATAAAGTATACTGGTCCTGTATACAGTACACTGGTCCGTGTATACAGTATACTGGTCCTTTATACAGTATACTGGTCCTGTATACAGTATGCTGGTCCTGTATACAGAACAGTGGTCCTGTATACAGTACACTGGTCTTGTAAACAGTACACTGGTCCTGAATACAGTACACTGGTCCTGTATACAGTACGCTGGTCCTGTATACAGTACACTGGTCATGTATACAGTACACTGGTCCTGAATACAGTACACCGTGGTCCTGAATACAGTACACCTGTTCTGAATACAGTACACCTATCCTGAATAAAGTACACCTGTTCTGAATACAGTACACCTGTCCTGAATACAGTATATCTGTTCTGAATACAGTACACCGGTCCTGTATACAGTATACTGGTCATGTATACAGTGCACTGGTCCTAAATACAGTACGCCATGGTCCTGTATACAGTACACTGGTCCTGTATACAGTACACTGGTCCTGTATACAGTACACTGGTCCTGTATACAGTACACTGGTCCTGTATACAGTACACTGGTCNTTAAATTTTTTAAAAACGTCAGCTGAGATGAGCTCACACTCTACGCAAAACGCAAGCGTATACTCCGTATTCACAGGAATCCAAGTAAAATTTTAGAGATATATACTACCTGAATACAGTACACCTGTCCTGAATACAGTACACCGGTCCTGAATACAGTACACCGGTCCTGAATACAGTACACCTGCCCTGAATACAGTACACCTGTCCTGAATACAGTACACCGGTCCTGAATAAATGGCACGTACGTCGTACATGCCTTGTAATACAGTACACCTGTGATATATAAGATACATCCGTCCTGTAAACATTACACACACGTCCTGAATACAGTACACAAGTCCTGCCTATTTCACGTTCACCTTGTAAGCTTTTTAGCATATATTAGTCCTGTAACATTTTGTTTAATTCTAAATTAGATTGTAAAATTTTGCAAGATAATAGTAATAATAAGACAAGATGGTTTACAGAGAAAAATATGCGCTAGGTAGTCTCGAAGTCTTATTTCTTTCTGGAGGGATTTCATTTTAGTTTATTCCAATGTTTTCCGTGTTAACTCAAGAGTATTTATGACATTAAGGATTTGGAAAGTAAAGCAGGACGCAAACAGAGTTAAGTTAAGTCGGAGAATAAAGTCTCAAGAATATTTATAATTAAGAAGTTTTCTTTAAAAGTTTTAACAGAAAAATATGTTTTAAGATAAAGAAATTTCCAGCGATCAATTAAAGAGTTTTATTCCCGCAATCAATTAACGAGTTATATGCCCGCGATCAATTAAAGAGTTTTATTCCCGTGATCAATTAACGAGTTATATGCCGAAATCAATTAAAGAGTTATATCCCCGAGAACAGTTTATTTCGTTAACAAATCTTTTACTCAAATTCATTTGACTTTGAAATCAAATTTACTCCCAAGACTCCCATACCATATTTGTAATTATTCTCTTTGGTATCAAACAACTTAACAAATTATTGAAGAATACATTTTAAAGTATTCACCAACTGTCATGTTTCGTGGGACACACTGTAGAAACATGACTTAAAAATAAATAAAAAAAAACCTGTTTGAAAATGTTGATTTGTAAAATGGCTCCTTGGAAAGCGTTATTTTAAGTGACCTTCCATTAAAAGATCGGTCATCTTCAATTAACAACGGTGCTTTTAAAACTTTTGACTTATCAAGTATGTAGATATTTATCTACAAGACGCTTGTAGTCGTTAAACACTTTGTTTGCAAGCTGTTTTATAATTCAAAAAATAAATATTTACTTTTAAATTTTTTAAAAACGTCAGCTGAGATGAGCTCACACTCTACGCAAAACGCAAGCGTATACTCCGTATTCACAGGAATCCAAGTAAAATTTTAGAGATATATACTACATAGGGAGATCTGTGTCCTCTATGAACATGATATGGTACCATTCTAAATCGGGCAGACCGAGCACATAAATGGAGGATCACTTACAATTACGCTTACACTCCCTTTTATACTTCATTAAACAGGTGCGGATCCTGAGTGTGAAGATATAGATTGCAGAACCCCTCTACATTCAGCAATTGTTAAAGGATCAAGGTAAAAAATAAGTTTCTAAGTAAACCATCTCTCAATGTCAATTTAATGAAACATTAAAAAAGCCTTAAAAATAAGTTTCATTTTTCTTTGGTTAGCTCGAGCTGTGAATGAAAATATTTTGATGAAAGAAAAACGATTAGAATAAAATAAAATTTATTACAAGCATTCCCTGGCACCTCTTGAGCAGGACGGATAAATATTGTTTCCAGGATCAAGATATTTAAATTTATATACTGGAAAATAAACAAATAACTCCAGCTTGGCATAACATCAAGAAAAATGTTAGAATTATCAAACATTAAGATAAATGCCAGTCATTCACTTCCTTCTCCCTTCTCCCTCCTCCCTTCTCAATTATCCCAAGATTGGCATAAGTCATTGGGATAAGTTTTGTGTTGGTATAAGTCCCCAAAAAAACACACGTAATATTGGAATAAATACAGTAAGCGCGAAAACTCCTCCCTCCTCCTTCCTCCCTCCTCCCTTCTCTCTTCTCCCTTCTCCCTCCTCCCTCCACTCTAAGAATATGTGTATAAATATTGAAATATTAAGATCCTATGAATGTGTCCGAATGCTACTGGATGCACGAGGAGATGTCAACCATCAGGATTCATTTGGATATTCTCCTCTCCATATTGCAGCTTTAAACGAGTATTCCTACTGTGCTAGTCTCCTCCTATCATATGGAGCTGATGTAACTATCAGAACTAACGGAGGAACTTCAGCTCTATCTATGATTGTCAGGAAGGAAACTAGTTTTCAAGATCATGGAAAACATATCGTTCTTTTATTTCAAACTCACAGAGCAAATTTTTATTAAAACATACCCTTTAAAAATGTCCTACATATAAAATGTCTTTCTGTAAAATTTCCTTTGATGAATTGTCTATTTTTAAAATGTCATAAGATTTTTTTTTAAACCTGTTTCCATTTTTTCCATTTATAGAAAGATTCCCAGCGTTCTTCCCAAGTTTGAAGATATGCTTGATGAAGCCATTACTCTGGCTGAACATGATATAAACGATGTTGATTGTGAACTGAAACTAGATTACAAGGTTCTGATACCCAACAAGGCGAGAGGAGAGAGCGCTATGTTTATTGCGTTTATAGAGACCGGACACAATCATCTTCTCAAACACCCGCTCTGTGAGAGTTTCCTTCACCTCAAATGGTTGAAAGTTCGGAAATTTTTCTTCGTTAGTTTAGTTTTCCATCTTGTATTCACGATGCTGCACACCATATATGTTCTCCAGGTGTACACAGGACAGTGTATACTTCAGGAATATCATGGTTCAACTCTATCATTCTTTTATTTTTTATTTTCTTTAGTTATTACTTTAAAGAAATTTAAAAATACATAAATAATGTATAAATATTTTTTTCTTTTTCAATTGAAACCATATTCATGCATGATGAAACGAAATTGAATTGCCAAACAATCGTTTGAACCATTGATACTAGAATAACTGTGAGAAGAGAAACAATTCTGATTTCTCGAATGAGTCTCCGGTAAAGAGCGGAGTCAGCGTAGAGGGGAAATGTTTTATTCCATACATAGAAAAATGCAGGTTGGGAAAATATCTTTAGAGATTTACGTATTCATGATAACTTGCTTTCATAATCTGTGTAGTCAGAGCTCAGGAAAGGAGGAGAAGGGGAGAAGGGGAGAAGGGATTGGGGGAGGAGGGGAAATAGAAGGGGGAGGAGGAGGGGTAGACTAGAGGGAATTGTATAAGAACTGAGAACATTAAGAGAGGAATGTTGATCTGACGTATTTAGATGAATCCGACATTCCCCTTCATTTCTATATTAGATAAATNCCCCAATCTCCCCTACCCACCCGGGCCTACTTTGAACCTACCCCCATATCCCCTACCCACCCGGCCCTACTTTGTACCTACCCCAATCTCCCCTACCAACTCTACGTTTTACCTACCCCAATCTCCCAGTACACACTCCTACTTTGTACTCCGACTCCACATGCCCAGCTCTAGTTTGACCATCTCCACTTGCCCAGACCTACCTTACACATACCCGTTCTCTCGACTTTATCAATCTCTTTAAATTAATATTTAATACCAAACTTTCTCTAGTTTCTAATATTAAAAGTTACATTTAGTCTTAATTCTATTTCCATATTGATTATTGATTTCTTTCTTTAGGATCACCATGTCCACCATTGTGGTGTGGATCCTCCTGATAATCTCAACCTTGATCCTCTCCGCCAAGGAGATCTTCCAGCTGATGCACTCTCAGAAGCTCTACTTCTGCAACTGGGAGAACTGGGTGCAGTGGGGGATCATCATCAGTGTGATGACAGTCAGCTTCCACACAAATCCTTTTCCAAACCTTGATGTTTACGTTCATCTAGTAGAACGCTGGCAGCATCATGCTGCTGCTATAGGAGTATTCCTTGTGTGGGGGGAGCTAATGCTGATGGTAGGACGACTACCAACCTTTGGTATTTATGTTCAGATGTTTACAACTGTTGCTAAGAACTTCTTTAAGTTCCTCACCGCGTATTTCTGTCTATTGGTCGCGTTCGCGCTCAGTTTCTGCGTTCTGGTTCCTAACTACAGGAGCTTCAACTCTAACGTGGTGTTCGCGGTGGTGAAGAGTTTGGTGATGATGGCAGGGGAGATAGAGTACGAGGATATTATTTATGAGAACGGAGAAGAACTGTATCCTGTAACCGGACACATGATGATTCTACTGTTTGTAGTTCTAATCAGTATTATACTAATGAATCTACTGGTTGGTTTAGCAGTATCCGATATACAGGTTAGAAATGGACATTTTGGATTAAAACTGATTTTTTACCTTTTTACGAGATAAAAGTAAATCCAAAGTTAACTTTTATCCTATCTGAATATTACAGGGTTTACAGAAGTATTATTTATCCTATCTAAATATTAAAGGGTTTACAGAAGTATTATTTATCCTATCTGAATATTACAGGGTTTACAGAAGTATTATTTATCCTATCTAAATAATACAGGGTTTACAGAAGTATTATTTATCCTATCTAAATATTAAAGGGTTTACAGAAGTATTATTTATCCTATCTGAATATTACAGGGTATACAGAAGTATTATTTATCCTATCTAACATTACAGGGTTTACAGAAGTATTATTTATCCTATCTAAATATTACAGGGTTTACAAAAGTATAATCCTATCTAATATTAAAGGGTTTACAGAATTATTATTTATCCTATCTGAATATTACAGGGTTTACAGAAGTATTATTTATCCTATCTAAATATTACAGGGTTTACAGAAGTATTATTTATCCTATCTNAGGATATGACAATAGAAACTAACAAAACTAACAAAGTTTTCAGGGAACTAACTAAACCAGCCAGGATATGACAATAGAAACTAACAAAACTAACAAAGTTTTCAGGGAACTAACTAAACCAGCCAGGATATGACAATAGAAACTAACAAAACTAACAAAGTTTTCAGGGAACTAACTAAACCAGCCAGGATAGGAATTGAGAAACTAACAAAACTAACCCCCGGAAAGCAGATCTTTAGTTATCAAAGTCATCCATAGTTCTCCAGGTAAAACAGTTCGATAAATATTTAATATAGATAAGTTTTGTTCACAATAGTCCTGAAGTTAAAACATTTGTGAATCTCGTGATTACGCATTGATCTCCATCCTAGGCAGATCTAGAGATTAATATAATTCCTCGTTGATATACCTAAGTAGTCATACCTCGCAGGGATACCTGTAATTGAGGGATCAATCATTGATCTTCAAATTCAAAAGTGCTCACGTACATTGGATATAGAGATCAAGTGTTCACGACTAACAATATAAGTTCTGATCTTAGGTAGATTAAGTTATGTCATGGTAAAATAATTTGTGTTTTGTTTTTAAGTTTTAAAAAGTTCTTGAAAACATTGGTAATAATGAATAAAAATTAACAAGTTTTAGATTCTTGTTTTATTTAGAGTGCACTTGTGGTTCCCCATGCATACAACTGGACGTTTACAATCCGTCCTAACGATATCAGAGAGGATCGTTTATCCAGAGATATTACAGAGAGTGTACATGCTCTAGTATCAAGAAGGTTAGTATTTTGTTTTAGCTCCTAAATGTATGTTTTATAGCCTAAGATATTCATCATTACTTTAATTTAAAAACTAACGATAATGTAGTAAGGAAAATGTTTAGGCTGGCATTGAACAATGAATTAAAAACTGAATTTGATCAATTTTGGCTGAAGTCTAATTGTTTGCAAACCAGCCAACAAATTATGATTTTAAAAATGTAGTCTGTGCAAGTTAAACACAATAGATTACAATACAAATTAATAACATGCAATACAATAAAGTAAAATACAAAACAATCTATGCATATAATTGGCTTTATTTTGTTTTTGTTTGTTTGTATCCGATAAATGTTAAAACTACTGAACGCTTAGTTTTACAATGTGCCAAAAAATACCGGCTAAAAAGCAACCTTTAAGAGCTAAAATTGTTTTTAGAAAAAGAGTCTCGCAGCGCCCTAAGTAGCCTAGTAACAGTTCAAAACAATACAATTCAAGATAATACAATTTTTGCATTTTTGTTTAAATAATAAAATTAATTTTAGAATTTAACTTTAAATTGGTCCTTCCAGTATGTGCAATGTGCATTGTGTGCATGTAACTATACTTCAAAAGTTTTATGAATTGAAATCAACTATTAATATTTCAGCCAACCTACAGTTCCTGATAAACAGTCCTGAGCCCCGGAAGGATGAGAACTGTAATGAGAAAGCCGGAGTTCATCATATCACCGAGAAAATACAGAAATCCTTCAAAGGGATTTTCCCGCCAGAACCAGACCCGGAGAAATTAAACAAGGTTAAACAAGATAACGAGAGTTTAAGAGATCTTGTAAACAACCTGACCAACCTTGCTCTAGCTATCACGGAGGATAGAAACCAGAAGGAGGAGGAGGAGGAGGAGGGGGAAGGGTCTAGGGAGAATAATCTTGCTCCGGAAACTCAAAAATATGAAAGAAAGTTTGGTAGTTTGGAGAAGAAACTTAAAAGAACAAATCTGATGCGACGACGTGAAAGTCAAGCTTTATTAGTTGGGTTGAGGAAAACCAGATCTTCGACAGGAATCCTACAGAAACCTTAAACCCTCCAAGGTTTACTAGTTGGGTTGAGAAAACCTCAATCTTCAACAGGGATCCTAAAGAAACCGTAAACCCTTCAAAGTTTACCATAGTGATTTGAGGAAAACCAGATCTTCAACAGGGATCCTAGAGAAACCTTAAACCCATCAAGGTTTGCTTGTTGGGTTGAGGAAAACCAGATCTTCAACAGAAACCATAAACCTTTCATTCTACTCAGTTATACACCCGAGCTTTGTTAAGTTAAATAAAGTAATACTGTAATATATATCTACCTATTTATTATTTTGTACTGCAGACATGGGACTGCTAAAAATATATTAATTAAAGCGCAGAATAAGATGGCTTGCTTAATGAATTTTTGAAAATTATACGGGCACTGTGACATTTTTGCTATTGTAATGATGACTTTATACTTGATTTTTTGTATTTTTTCTGATTAAGGGAAAACTTTTTTCTCTTTTGGTCGCAGTACTTGACCCCCCCTCCCCCGTCTAGAAACAATTTTATAATCGTATTTAGGTAAATTAATGATTTATGTTTAAAGGGACTGTAAGCGTAATTTCAAATGACCCTCCATGCCAATATGAAACCTCAATCTGATCAAAAATGTGGAAGTTACCGTCGATTTTCTTGACTCGATAAGTGTTTAATTCTGATAATTTCTACATTACTTCATTAAAGCAAGAATTGTGTAAGCCACTTTTGCAGAAAACCCGCGAATGAAAATAAACAGTTTATAGAAATAAAAACATGAATATATAATTCATACAGTTGTAAACCGGGTAGTGCCATCTTTGTATGGAAGTGTTACTTGAAATTACGCTTACAGTCCCTTTAATATGAAGAAAAACTTTTTTTAAGTGAAAAAAATATAATGATAAGATTAAGTGACGCGTGGGTTAAAGGGTTGAAGATGCTTGAGTTTAAACAATTGAAGTTCTCCCCGGCAGGATGACTGCGTACACTGCGTAGACACTGTTATGCGTCATTTTTATCTGGACAATAACATTACGCATTCTACAGACATACTCGGATATAGACGATTCATTCTCATGCAATTCTCGTCAAATAGGTAGATGCAAAAAGCATATTCATTAATCATCGAAATACCCGTCCTTTATTTAATCCCTGGCTAGCTATTCATCCATTCGTATCTTACATTTTTCTTTCATTCATCCTTAGCATACAGTAGACATTCAAGAAACAAAATGATTTTCGTCTTTTTTTCTTTCAACTACGAAAATTTTTCAATAACAAAAGTGCTTTTTTAAGGGCTTGAAGTCGAAAAAAGGAAATCTTAAGTTGTTGCATGCAGATTTGGCTGTGTTCAATTCAAATCGATTTTTTGTTCTTGTG